ATTTGCAGACTTCTGTGATAGTGATGGATGTTTTGAGAGAAAATCTGGGCATAGGCGCCGCGAGATTAAACTCATGTGATGAGCGCAAATAACCACTTGGCATCCGTGGCATCACAGAAAGCGAATTAAACATCAAATACAGTTTGCCTGCGAGGGCTTACATGAACCATTTTTCTCAAACTAAAATGAAAAGGCATCTTGTGTGTGACGAACAATGGCTTTCTTTATCCGAATATTTATACACTTTTAGTAACTGTATTTCTCTCTGTTCATCAGGATTCCTCTGTGGTTTTGCCAGGGCTTTCCAGACTTGGTGTTTCCCTTTGGCAAACTGCAAGTGCACATCAGCAGGGAGTGAAGAATAGCTGAACATGTGTGTGAATAGAAACGAGAGACAGACATTGTGTGTGTGTGTGTGTGTGTGTTTGATATTAATGGATCTCTTATCAAGTGATCTGTATCCCGATTGTTACTTCATCCATAATGACCGTGTCCATCCCTGAGGCCGGGACATCTGATCTGTGATCAGGAACAGCTGTAGGACCATCGGCACAGCTGACAGTACTGAGGTGAATAAACCTGATCCTAGATTACTTCATCTGGCAAATGCCAATTCTGCTTTGAAAATCTGATCAAGTTTGATGTTAAAGTGTGTAATTGTTTTGATGTTTAAATACTTTCTTCTTTAACAGTTTAATATATAGAGACGGCTATAAATAAGCCATTTGTAGATTGTTTAAAGGGTTAAAGGGGTCATATGATGCGATTTCAAGTTACAAGCTGTTTGTGAATAGATAAGATCCCTAAAGTTGCAAGTCTCAAACAAAGTCTCAAACCCAAAGAGATATTCTTTATAAAAGTTAAGACTCATCCACGCCCTCCTAAAACGCCTCGTTTAAACACGCCCCAACATGTCTATGTCACAATGTGGAAAGATTTGCCTAACGCCGCCCAAATGTTCACGCAAAGAAAGAAGGCATAACTTTATTGTTGCTGCCACCGCCGCCATGTTGTGAAGGCGCTGTGTGTTTCGTTGCGAAAACGAAAATACTTTGTTTGGCCTTCCAAAAGAGAACACGACTAGAAATCAGGGGTTAAGTTGTATTTACAACACTGTTCCAGAACAGTTCAACCCAAATATTCAGATGTGTGCAGCGCATTTTATGGAGGACTGTTTCCTGATCCTGGAAGAGTAGACTACAATGCCGGCTGTTCTGACTCACACCAAGTACGTTTTCATATGAGCAGTGTAGAGTAGCGCTTGTTGTTTGTCATTTCTCGGATCACAAACGCAGACATGGATTTATGTTTACGCGGCGCGATGCAACGCGTAAAAAGACAGTATAAGTCATTATAATCCGTAATTATGTCCCCACTGGATGCAACAAATGCCATGTTTATAATGGGTTTTAATGTTTTTGTCTCGTCACACTGGGACGCAGCATCACAATATGGTAAGGGGCGTAACATTTATGTCACACGCTTGAGGTATTCTGGATAGCTGGCCAATCAGAGCACACCTCGCTTTTCAGACCGATGAGCTTTGTAAAAATCTACGCGATTCAGAAAGGTGGGGCATTGAGGAGAAACAATAATATACAGTATGTGGAAAATAATGTGTTTTTTTAACCTTAAACCACAAACATTTCATTACACCAAATAATGTTCTTTTTAGCAACATCATATGACCTCTTTGAATAAGGTCTTATGATATCAAAATTTTTGATACCATAGACATTTTATAATATTTTTTGTCACCAGTGTCAATTTCACAAAAAACTAATACTAGCCTAAATTTAAAAAACAAACAAACATCAAGCTCACTGAAGACAAAAAAAACTACAGTAGAACAAATAAATAAGAAATGATACAACATTGTATAAAGTAATCAAATAAAAAAAAAAGCATATTCTTCACTGTGTAAATTAAATATATATCTTCTTATTAAAGTTACAAAAGTGATTTAGCGGTCACTTTAAGAGCTGCCCAGATCCAATACACTGTTACACATGTGTTTTCTTTCTCAGCTGTTTGGTTTCACTTAAGACCCAAGTTACTGTGATCATGAGGATACTTGCAAAGACGGGCATTTTGACATACAAGTGTGTGTATTTAACCATTCAAGGCCTATAAAGCAACAAAATGCTGCTGATTGCGTTTCAAAGGCTTAAATTGTGTCAACCATAAGTTTTCATGACCAGGTAGCACAACAATGTCACTTGAGTGTGTAACCGCGATAGACAGGATAGTCCAAAATCTCTATATCGCCTACCCCTAACTGGAGTACTTCATTTTGTTGTCCATACAGGTATTTGATGAGCTGTCATTAGAAGACTGATGATCGAAGTGCAGATTTTTTCAATATATATATATTTTATATTATTTATTTATCATATATTTTTCTATATTATTAAAAAAAAAAAAAAAACTTTCAGATATTTTTTTTTTATTGTTGTTGTTGTGAATGTCCCTCTTGGGGACACGAGATTTTCCATTTTCAGAGAGTTGCAATGTTCATGTTATCTTTTTGCTGCATGTGTGAGTTAAAAATGTAACTGGTTGTGTCGTGGCCTAATGGTTAGAGAGTCAGACTTGGAAAAAAATTCTATAGAAATCAATAGGGACCAACAACTGTTCGGTCACACTCATTCTTCAAAATATATTCTTATGTGTTCAGCAGAAGAAAGAAATTCATACAGGTTTGGAACAACTTGAGGGTGAGTAAATGAAGACCAAATTATAATTTTGTTGTATCCCTTTAATTTTAACAGATATAACAATTAAAAAAAAAAAAAGTCTAAATGTAGTTTCGGAAAAAGACTGCAGTTTTTTGACATCACTAAAAGCATATGGCTACATAATATGCACGTGTCATGCATCACATGACGTGAGCAAAGACCAGCTGACTAAAGGGTTGGGGCCATCTAGAGACTCAAGGCCTGCAGATTTACATTTAGTCATTTTGCAGATGCTTTTATCCAAAGCGACTTACAATTGGGGAATACATAGTGATTCATCTTAAAAAGGCAAACAGACACAGGAAGGTCTCACAATACCAAGTTTCAGGCATTGTTTAAATCAGTACAAGCTAGAAAGGGAATGAATAAATAAAGTGAAAGAACGTTTTTTTTATTTATTTATTTTTTTTATTTAGGATGGTCCCTGATGCAGATGGTCCCTGGGGGCCCATGAGAGTCCAGGCTGACCACCTTCCTGTGACGTAAAAGGTCACAATTCATCTCAGTCTATGTCACACTTTAAAAGTCTGTACGGAAGTATTACAGTATTGCTAGAAAAAGATGTACCACATGCAAAGTCTGACACACCTATATGAAAATTCAAAGTACCAAAGTCCTTCAAAAGCCCTACTCCTTTACAACACCGATACACTCCCAATGCAGACTGAAAAGATTGTGTCGAAATGCTGACAACGTCTGTGTAAAATACATTCTGAAATGTACTGTGAACAAGGTTGTGGAAATTTCAGTTCACATCCTATCACAACACACCTCAAGATGGGCGGACAAGGAACTTGTTTTTCAGCATTGCTGCCTTGCATTACATGATTCAGCATATATCTGATCACTCTTACACCTGCCACAAAGAAACAAACTGAATATCATCCCTAATGAATGACAACATCTCAACTACAGATCCCAAAACAGCAGTAAATCTAGCACACGAAAGTCTCTGTGATGTACTCGCAATGCAGTGAAGTTTAAGCCAAAACATCTCAATACAAATCAACCAGTTAGCCAATCCTGCTAACTTAGATTTATTGATAAACTATTGCATCACAACAGCGTGTGTGGAGAGCTATTAAACTGGGAATCTAGCTGTACATACGTACTTATAAATATTCTATAAACTAACGTTAGGCTGTTAAAATAGCGAATACATGATCATAACAGCAGTTGCTAGCTAGCTTAGCAAAGTAACTTAACTGAAACTAACTTCCACAACAGACTGGTTTAAATACAACATTTCTCACCTCTGCATGTACAAATACTGAGTAATTAAAACCATTTAAGTCGAATTATACTGGGATAATCAAAAAAAAAAGACACGTTTAATAAACCAGTGAGAGTGGAGGGGCTGCTATGTGACAAGCTAACAAAGCAAAGCGGTAATTTTACAGACTTACAGTAATAAGCGACCACCGGTTCTCTTTTGTCGTGTTCCTGCGCTGTTCTTAAATGGTGCTGGATTGGTTTCAGCTGCGGTGGGAGCGCCATCCTGGAGAAAAGACTCCGTTACAAACTTCTACGGTCAGCAAGAGCCAAAAAATTGCTAGTAACAAAGATGACAGACTCGAGTCGCGAATGAGCCGCTTCCGCGTCTTCAAATGAACGCGCAGCCACACCTTTACTGACCTCCATAGGCGAGGAGTAAGAAATGACCCACATGAATCAGTGGCGACTTATATCCTGCATAAAATACATATTGGCTTATATACAGAGCAATGTTTAAAAGTGTTGTCTATTTAGTAATCACGTATTTTAAGGTGTAATTTGTCATTTATTTGTCATGCTATAATAATTGTTTTAATTAATATTTGAATTAATATTTACATCAATTAAAAGTCATAACTGTTTTGCTGTTTTTATTCTGTTATATATGTCTGCAATGTATTTGCATTAAAGATGAACTAATGTACTTTGATTTGTATTAGTTATCTATTTTAGTTTTAGTTACAGTTGTAGTAATGTTGTCATTTTATTCCTTTTTTATTATGTCAATGCAGCTTGTACAAAGCACCCCTGTATTAATGCATTAATGTTCATAAAACACTTCATAAAGTGTTAATTCCTTTTATCCAACAGATTCCTTTTTTAATTGCATTCCCCTTATAATATGTGTAAATATTACTGATATGGAAAGGTGTAAACAAAAAAACAATGATGCGACTATTTTAACTATATTTACTTGATTGAAACTTCAAAAACATTAGGAAATCATTGTAACTGACAGAAGGCCAAGGATTCACAAGCAGATCTGTTTATTCTGACCTAGACTGATAATACATTATGGCAGTCATAAATTATATATATATATATAAATATATATATATGAAGATTTTCATGCATAATTTTCATCATAAATCCCACAGACAAAAACCAATATAAATGATCAACTCTCTACACATAGTACAAAAGCTATTACTCAAACAGCTGTGGTGTTGAAACAGTGGGAAGGCAACTGTGGGAAGATGTGCAGGCCAGACATGCTGTCAGATCTCCTCGGATGTTTCATTTATGCATAAATAGCATTCTTATAATAAATAGTTACCCGCTGACACAAAATAAGAGATCACAGTATGCCATTTTGTACCTGAGATGAAACACTTAGCTGAGAATAATAACAAAAGTTGGATGGATGCCTGATAAAAATGAACAGATACAGATACTACAACCACACAAGATCATTCTCAAATGGACATAAAACTAGATGGAAATCAACAGCTGATGAATGTACTATCAATGTGCATGATTGTAACTAGATACCATGGACCGCTCAATAATGTTTTTAGAAACTGATGCACTCTTGCATGTAATTATTCTTCCTTAAGAAGAATCAATCTTTGTTGAAATTTAAATCAAATAATATTTGTCAAAATAGTACTTGCATTTTGTGTAATATTTCAATATAAGTATAAATCTAAATCTGAAAATAATATTGCAGAGATAATAATGATCAACCAAATATTTATGTGGGTTTAGGTTAGCTCATACAAGTCAATAAAATAATTTCTCCTGCTAGAGAGGTGCTTTTTAGGCTTACAAAAGCTTTAAAAAAAGATTAATGAGTCCCTTGCCATTAATTAGGCTTGTTTTGTTTAGATTATTCCAGAAAAGGAATAATAAGCTGACCTGTTTTAAAAAAGCATGTACTTCTGTGTCTACCACCAGAAAATGCAGAGGTATGTGGGTTTATGTCCTGTCTGTGATTCAGAGACCCACGGAAAACATAAAACAAACACTGCTAAAGTATCACTAAAAACACTTTCTAAATTCTCAAGTCACTGGCTGGTTTAAATATCCAAGTCTTCGGAACAGAATCTCAAAAATCTCAGCGACACAGAGGAGTATGGTGATGATGGTGAAGGTGTACATTGCACTGAGGAAGATAGTCTTCTCAAAGTGTTCAGGGACCATACACTTCGAGATGTTGAAGATCTTTGCAAGGGCACTGACATCGCACATATAAATAGGATCAACCAGGAACCCAAAAAGGTGGCTCTGAAGCCAAAATGCTAAAACTTCCAGAATTATTCTCAACAGGACAGAGATGATGTAGAAGACTGTGGACATTGGCCGCTGAAGGATCTCATCCTGGTCTATATTTTTACAGGCAGCATAAAGATGAAACACAGCTCCAGGCACAAAGACAGTGCATAGCTGCAACGCCCAGAATACCTACAATAACAACAAAAAAACAGCTTTTTTTTTCTTTAGGTTTGCTTTTGTTTTTTCACTTTTGTCATTTTGCCCAGTAGTATGGTTTTTATTAAAGTTTCCACAAAAGAATTACAAGAGATTATAGGCCATAACACATCTTCGCAATCAGCTTGTCATACTCACATAGTAGAAAACTTGAACAAATAGTTCACCCTTAAGTGAAAATACGCTGAAATTTTAGCCACCCTCATGCCATCCAAGATGTAGATGTGTTTATTTCTTCATTTGAATAAATTTGGAGAAATTTAATATTGCATCACTTGCTCTCCAACGAATCCTATACTGTGAATGGGTGCCGTCAGAATGATAATTCAAACATCTGATAAAATCATCACAATAATCCATAAGTAATCCACACGACTCCAGTCCATTAATTTTTTGTCTTGCGAATTGAAAATCTGAGTGTTTGTAATACCAGGAACCCAAAAAGGTGGCTCTGAAGCCAAAATGCTAAAACTTCCAGAATTATTCTCAACAGGACAGAGATGATGTAGAAGACTGTGGACATTGGCCGCTGAAGGATCTCATCCTGGTCTATATTTTTACAGGCAGCATAAAGATGAAACACAGCTCCAGGCACCAAGACAGTGACTAGCTGCAACGCCCAGAATACCTACAATAACAACAAAAAAACAGCTTTTTTTTTTCGTTTTCTGTCTTTAGGTTTGCTTTTGTTTTTTCACTTTTGTCATTTTGCCCAGTAGTATGGTTTTTATTAAAGTTTCCACAAAAGAATTACAAGAGATTATAGGCCATAACACATCTTCGCAATCAGCTTGTCATACTCACATAGTAGAAAACTTGAACAAATAGTTCACCCTTAAGTGAAAATACGCTGAAATTTTAGCCACCCTCATGCCATCCAAGATGTAGATGTGTTTATTTCTTCATTTGAATAAATTTGGAGAAATTTAATATTGCATCACTTGCTCTCCAACGAATCCTATACTGTGAATGGGTGCCGTCAGAATGATAATTCAAACATCTGATAAAATCATCACAATAATCCATAAGTAATCCACACGACTCCAGTCCATTAATTTTTTGTCTTGCGAATTGAAAATCTGAGTGTTTGTAATACTTGTGTGGTTTACTTGTGGATTATTGTGATGTTTTTATCAGCTGTTTTGAGTCTCATTCTGATGGCACCCATTCACTGCAGAGGATCCAATGGTGAGACAGTGATGTAATGCTGAATTTCTCCAAATCAGGTTAATCGACCAAGAAACAAACTCATCTACATCTAGGAAGGTCTGAGGGTAAGTCAGTTTTCAGCAAATTTTCAATCAACTATTCCTTTAATTTATCTCAGTGGAAGTGACAGATAAGTAAGCTTCAAATCTTAAAGTTACTAGCTTTTTTTAACATCTATGTTTTGATTATAGGATATCTGAAATAGTTTTTTAAGATACAGTAGGTTGCCAGATACCTCAACTCCAAATCTTACGTTTAGTTTCATGTTTAGATTAGTAAAATGAATTAATGAATTAATAAAAAGCTGTTAGCTTTTTAGAATTTATCTTTTGTTTTTTCTTCCTAATTCTTCCTACAGCCATAGTCACCTTTGCCTGTCATTTCATGCATATTTTGATACCACAATAGCAGGTTATTAAATCGAAATATTTTCATTCACTTTTACCTGAGGTGTTATTGGCCTGAACTGGTTGTAACAGTAAAGGTTTATTTCCCTTTTGTCTGGATCACAGCTGAAGTGGAGGGCCTCATTGCCATAGACGGCGAATCCAAGGACTCCAAGGAAAAATGTACGCACAGAGCCAAAAAACAGCGTGTGGAACTGGCCTATCACTGTTGGAGGCCTGAGCTGAAATATGCAATGAAAAAGATTATAACACACAAATGCAAGACCAGACATGCATCCACTAAAATCATGTTTACATTAAATTTTTCTAATTTTGCATATAAAGATAAAACTTTACATTACATACTTACACATCCTTCATAAAAGTTTTTGATGTAGTTTAATGACATATTTTGACTTCACAACTCTGCATCATTAACCTGTCACCATCATTGCCAGTCTTCTAACCTCAGGCAGAGGCAGATGGCAATTGCGAACCTCCAAATGACCTTTCGCTTTAGAAACCCCTTGTCAATGCATTCTCTTTTTATCCGCAGTGCCTTCATCAATTTACTCACTCAGTGCAAAAAAAAAGACAAAAAAGAAAAATAACAAAGGCCACGGGACATGTGGTCAGCCCATAGGCTAATCCCTACTCTGTCAGCGAAAAAACAACTCTTGTATCTCACAATAGAACAGAGCAACCATGACAATTGCAATGAAATGCAATTGTATCACTGGGCAGATCACATAATGAAAAACAACAATTAACAAATAACACAAATTCCTGAACAGAACTTAAACAGGCTAATCAAATCAATGTAATAAATGGCATTTAAAACAAGTGCATTCTGTAAAACAATGTCACAACAAAGGCGGGTTGAGTAATGTTATCTTGGGATTTTGAGACTATCTAAGACAGCTGTAGGCCTTACTGATATAGCTGTATAAAATAGCTTTATTTCATTTACTGTATGTAGCTATACATCTGTCTCAGATATTTGCGAATAGGCCTTCTAAAAGTTTAACTAGACTTACCCGCAGTCTTTCTTCTCTAAAACTACAGCACGAGTAACGTTCTCACGGTAAGAAACATTTCACAAGCGTTAAATCAATCGTCTATTGAAAGTCCACACACCAACCGTAATCCAGGCGGAGTGCTGTTCATCCCCCTTCTTAATCAGAACCGAGGTCCTGCTCTCATGTCACTGCGTCCCGAGGGAAAGACCGACCTGCTGGAAAAGCTGCATGTTGGGGGCGCCTTTCTGACGGCAAGCTTTTTCGAGTCATAAACCAAAGAGCAAACAGACAAACGAGGCATCAAAGAAACGTTGCAAAGAATAGATCATTATGGCCACAGAGATGCTAATTACCGAAATAAGAGTACTGGGGTCTGGCGGTCATACGGTCATTACGCACGTGGTGCACACGCAAGCATAGCTGTCAATCAGAGTGATGCTTCATATATGACCATGGCTTGATTGTTTTGTTAGCTCACAGAGATTATGGCATAATGGATGACTCTATTATATGAGTTTATATTATTAGCGCGATGCCGTTGCCGTGCTATAGATATGGGTTTGTCTGATTATAATGTTTTTGCATTATTTCTGAGAATAAAAAGTCATTGAAAATAAAAACACAATTTCTTTTCAAATTAAAGTAAATGGGTAAATGACGTTTTCTATACATCTGATTCAAAACAAAACTTGATCAATAAATGAAATACTCGAATACTTCTCTAATGAACGTGTTTTACATTTCTTAATTAAAAGTCATTTTCGATCTCTGGAAATTTGGGGGTGGGGGTGTTTGGGGGGAAGAGAAAATGGTAGCATAAAGACTTTTTTTTCCTAAAAATGTGTCACATGCTATGTGCGTCAGTGCTGGTTTTGGATAATGGAGAAGGGAAACCATAAACAGCATGTACCTACTGCAACTAGCTTAATTGCATTCTTCTCTAATTAGATTTTCTGTGTCCAGTATTAACATGTTGCATCAAGAGCGTCTGAAAATACCAGCAGATGTCATTAAATCAACAGATGACCGCATGCAACCCAAGTCAGCGGCGTATTATATCCATTTAGCCTATTACCAAATGACACATTTACATCAGACAACATCTGTGTTGCGGTAAACATACACAGTTAGATATAAATGATTTTGTTCGTAGGATGTGAGTCAAGGTGAGTAACCAGCCCAGATGAACTGCTAGAGACAGAGAACGAGTGGGGCATGTGATGCTTTTCATTCGTAGTCTGAAACCCATTCAGGTATGCAAGGCTTATGCCTATGTCAAGTTGAGAATTTGACTGTTCCCTTGGCTGATCTTAAACGGAGCAGAACTTACACCTCATCATTCCTGAATAAGTTTCTGAAAGTTTGAATTCAGCCTTCAGTTTCTAACTGGCTACCGAGGCTTAAGTATTTGTATTCGTTTTGTATAAAGGCACAAAGACGAGGTACACAGACCAAAAGCAAGGAGCAGTACAGACACGACCAGGATAAACTAGCTCTGAGACCAAGGCCATCTGAACAATCCGATTTCAAGATCTGTCTGGACAAGGAACCTTTGACATCAGCACTTATAATCCATAAATGTCTGTTTGCAGTGTCTGCTTATTTTATCCCAGTGGATGAGAAGGCAAACCTAAATGGAGGTTTGAATAAAAAAATCTCTTTATGTAATTCTGTGGTTACATTCTCCAGTGACACACGACACAATTCACAATAAGTGTTCTCCACGAGTTATGCGCCACATAACTTTGCAAGACTGGAGAATTTCCTTATCTATTTCTTTTTCAAATACCTGTTTTTCTACTCTAGCTCTCCAGACCCAGTTGATTTTCTGATTACGTATTTATTGCAATTCTTCCCTCAGCAAATCCCCCCTGCGAGTCATAGAAAGAGCATGAAAGTGCTCCAGCCGAACCCCGACAAGGGAACGCGCGGACAAAAGCTGCACCTGACGAGTCCAGAAAGCACAATCCTAGTTTGCGCTACTGATGAGCGACCGCACCATATGATCAACATCATTCTTTCAGAGTTGGGGGTTCGTTTTAATAAATAAATAAATAAATACACTTTAAAACAGGTCGTGAAGGATAGATAGATAGATACGTGCGGAGGGGGCGGAATATTTGACAAATTACGCTACAGCACTTGTATTTTTGCACTGATTGGCTATTAACTGTGAGCTATGGAGTTTCTATGGAGGACTAAATTTAATAAATTAATAAATAAATAAATAAATACACATTAAATCAGGTAGTGAAGGATAGATAGATAGATAGATAGATAGATAGATAGATAGATGTAGAACTGTTCGGTGTTGCGTTCTGCAACACTGTCCGCATTGAAGCAGTGGCTCCTATGGCAAGCTAATTTAACATTTATTCCTTTAAAAATATATATTATGCTTCTAATACTTGTTTTTCTAATTAATACTAATAGTAAAACCGGAATAGTTGCCAGAACCAACTAGAATACACACTAGTAAAAAGTGAATCATAGTGAACCAAGACGAAGAATGAATACATACTAATATCAAATGACTGGTTACATGTCAAGCCAAGTCAAGTCAGATTTAATTCTATAGCACTTTATACAATACAGATTGTTTCAAAGCAGGTTCAAAGTAATAAACAGGAAAATTGCATAAGTGATTATGAAAACTCAATAATGAGACAATTCCGATTCTGTAAAGCAGGTCTAATAAGACAACAGTGTCATTACTTAGCTTAAGTCAGTTTAGTGTTGATAAAGTTCAATAAAAATGTAAAGTTCATCTATTTTGAAATGAGTTCAATTCAGCTATAAGTAGTTTTACAGAATCCAGCATTGTCGTTATTCAGCTTGAGTCAATTCAATGTCGATTCAATTCAGTTGGATAAAAGTGTAGATGTTGCAAGATATGATTCACCCAAAAAGCAGCTACAGAATAGTGTCATTATCCAGCGTCTTTGTGAATGAGAAAACGAGGAATTTAAAACAATACTATTCACTTTTGGATTTTTACTAGTATTCTAAAATACGTGTTATTAAAATCAATACATAATAGTTGGTCTAAAGGGTTAAATGTTAAAATTGTTTGCCACAGGCAATTATCTCTTAGTCTTCCCCCTTTACTTGTTCCTGTCTGTCAAAGAAGCCAGTCAACTTTTAGGGACGTGGCTGAAGACATCGCTCATTTCAGCACTAAGTTTGGCGGACAGCACCTCTCTATCTCTCTCGCCCCAACTGGAAGCCCTTTCAACTCCTCTGCGTTCTAACCACTAAAACAAAATATGGATCACACTTTCTCTGAGGATACCTCAGTTTATGAGAACTTCACAGATGACTGGACATCAGATGGAGGGGAAACGGTGCATTTAATCATTCAATGCGTTATCCCGTCGGTCTACATACTTATCATAACCGTTGGTTTACTGGGGAACATTACTCTTGTGAAAATATTCATCACTACCAGCGCGATGCGAAGTGTACCAAACATTTTCATCTCCAGCCTGGCCGTGGGAGATCTTTTGCTTTTGGTCACTTGTGTACCAGTGGACGCGTTCAGGTATTTCTATGAGGAGTGGATTTTTGGAACGGTTGCTTGTAAGATGATCCCGGTGATCCAGCTCACCTCGGTCGGAGTCTCCGTGTTCACTCTCACGGCACTAAGCGCGGACAGGTAAAAAAATTAAATAAAATCCTCAATGAACAACTGCAATCACTGCCACATTCACTACTATATATATATATATATATATATATATATATATTCAAACTATTTTGAATAAAAAATATCTCTATTTACAGCTTTAAGTCATTAAACAGTGTAGAGTTCCTTATTAAGCACCTGTAGCTGAGGGCAAATGAAAATTACTTTGATTTACAGAGGAATTAATCGTGGTGATGTGGATCTCATACAGCATTTGGCATACAGCCTGCAGGAATTCTGTATTACATTTGATTCATGGCTCAGATATATTTCTCAACAACAAAAATGCAGTTCATTTCTCTGACATTACACAGAGTGATGGGGTTAGGTGAGCACAGAGCACAGATTTGGACAGATCATGAAAGATTTATTATGTAGTTTGGTTTTTTATATTTTCTGTACACATAAATATTGTTTTGAAGGCCGGAAGTCATCTATACAGCCTACCCCTGACATTATTATTCTGATTTACTCTCACTGCAGTGATTTTTATTATAGAAATGCAGCGTTTTCATAACCAAATTGGACCAAGGCTGTTGTCAATAACAGAGGTATCATTACAGCCAAGAGATGAGTGTTTGGGATAAAGCTTATTGTTTATTCAAGAAAATCTCCACATACATTGGAATCATAATTCCCTAATATTTCTTCCCATAAACGGCAACTGAAAGTTGGAATATCTTTAGAATTCAAAGATTACATTAGTAGATTACAGTGCTTCAA